GTACACAGATAGACAATGACCTGTAGTAAAACATAGGCTACTGTTAGTATTACAATTTGCCAAAAGGTGGCGTTGACTTTATATAATACTAGCGACTCACCCTCGCTTCGTTCGGGTACGTGTCTAAGTTGTATTTTGAATTCATTTTATAAAGTACGTAGGCTGTCTGTAACAACTATATAACGCCTTTGAAACGTCTAAAATGTCTCTCCGGTGATAATGATTGCTGTAAAGCATTAGAATCGTCGGGAACCAAAAATCTAAATAAATCCGCAATAAAATTCGAAAAGCTTCACGGATTTATTTTGATTTTTTGTTCCCGACGTTTCGAAAGCTTTACAGCAATCATGGTCACGGGAGAGAATAAGGTTATATATTATCTTCTATACTATAATAAAACTGTAGAGGTCGGATGTCTGTACATAGAAAAAAAATGCTAAAAACCGAGTCAGGGGGATGTAAGAAGACAAATAAAACAAGTCCAGATTTTTTTTTAATTTTTTGTTTCTCTGTCTGTTTGTCTGTTTGTACGGGCTAATATCCGAATGTATTGGAACGATTTAAATGAAATTTTCCATGGTGATACCTTATATCCCCGGGCAACATCTTAGATACTTTTTATCCCGGAAAATTAAATAGTTCCCGTAGGACAGTTACAACTTATGCACCTAATTTAGTAAAATTTAATATTCTGATACCTTTACCTTATATTGCCGGTCAAATAACAGGTTACTTTCCATCCCGAAAAAATGAACGGTTCCCGTGGGAACAAATAGATCTCTATTAGTGTTTTTCTAGAGGCGAACCCGAGCAAAGCGAGGGTGAGCCGCTAGTTAATAATAAAAATCTAATTTAAATAACACGTGTATTCTATAAACGAGGTGAAACCTGACCAATACTAAGGTAAAAGAAACCACACAATGACATGGTTATTATCGGATACGTAGAAAATCAATAATTTTAAATATACCTGCATTATTCTATTTATATAATCTTCTTATAATTTTACTATAGAGTAATACTATTACAATAAAAACCTATGTTAAATAAACATACAGATAAAAGAAACATATAGCGAAATTTAACCCACTTTATTCTTTATTTTGAAGTCCTGAACGATTATCCCTTTAGATTATTTTTGATACACATAAAGTTTTGACAAGAGTAATAATGGATAAAATAAATATATGTTGGGACATTAACACACAGCGCCATCTAGTTCCATGGTTAGCTACGAGGCCTGTGTTATGGATACCAGATAGTTGATACACTACACGTATATAACTTTTTAAATACATACATATTATTATAAATATAAACATCCATAACTGGAGTACAAACATTCCTGCTCATCACACAAATGATTGCCATCAGCCCCGGATTCAAACCCGCGACCACTGGCTCAGCCAGTACGGTCACAACAAACTGAGCCATTTAGTGTTCGCCAAGGGTCGAAATGCGACTATATATAATCATTATTAAAAGTTTAAGTAAAACATATATAAATAAAATTTATGTATCTATATAATAAATACGATTTTTTTCCAAAATTATTTATTGATAACACTACAGCTTATCAATAGCTACGAAACAAAAAAAAGAAAATCGGTCGTCAAACAGAAAAGAAAATTGTCCTGAACTCGTTCATCTTTATCTTTGCCTATTTATACATATGTACGAGTATATAGATTTTTTATTAACTAATTAAGATTATGATATTATAATAAATTATAAATTTAAAATTTTAAAAAACCCCCTACACAAATTAATTGTCATTTAGCGATTACACTGGCACGCGTGAAGCACTTAATCGAATCATCACACGCCGAAATGCCTTACATCATTTTGGAAAAGAGCTGATATTCTCACACTGCTGGACCGATATTAGTCAAACGTAGCTAAGAACCACCGCAAGGAAACTGGCTTTCAAATAAAAAAAAACCGCATTGAAATCGGTCCATCCATTTGAGAGCTACGATGCCACCCACACCACCCCTCTTTTTACGTCGGAGATTAAAAAGGTACAGTATTACCATCCTTGGATGTATTCAGTACTATTTTTTAAATAATGCCTTACGCCGAATCAAGCAAGGTTGTATACTGTATGTAAGTATTCAGCCCTTTTTAACGTCCCACTGCTGAGCACGGGGCCCCCATCAGTACAAGGGGTATCAAGCCATAGTCCACCACGCTGGCCAAGAGCGGGTTGGCGGACTTTACATGTCTTTTGAAAACTTGCTATGTTCTCTCAGACATGTAGGTTTCCTCACGATGTTTTCCTTCACCGTAAGACAAGTCATATTCATCTTAGAAATGATTCGCACATGAAAATATCAGAGGTGCGAGACCCGGGATTTGAACCCACTTCACTCGGTTTCCCAAGCGAGCGCGTTTACCACTGGGCTACCACTGCCTTTTCCATACTGGCATTTTATGATTTAGGTTCCACGTGATTAGAGCGTAAAAATAGAACCGTAGCCATTAATAATAACCTTACGTAGCACAAATATTGTGTTACAGCCAATTGGCAGTTTAAGTATAAACGATATAAAAAATTGGTTGAACAAAGTTAATTAATGTCTACATTGTATATAGTAAATGTGTAGCTTATAATTATTTATATATTGCTGTTTTCCTGCATTTGCTCGCGTATTGATTATGTATTAGTATATAGTAACATGTTACTCTCATATTGAAGCTATATTACTGTAAAATTTCATCAAAATCTGTTCAGTAACTTGCATGAAAGAATAAAAATCACACAACATAATATATTAGCAGTACTACTAAAGTAATTGCTCGTGGCTCCACTCCATAGCGTCAAAAAAAATTACGGACACTCAGATTCTTCTACATCTACATATATAATAAAAATGTAACTAATCCGAATCTGTACATTAAATATTTTTTGGAAAATCTTATTGAAATAGACATTATTACCGATACAGAGGCCGAATCTATAGTTTTTAGAATTTTTGTCTCTCTGTCTGTCTGTTTGTCTGTCTGTCTGTTACCGCATCACGGAAAAACCACTGGAGGGATATTGATGAAATTTGGTATGATGGTAGCTGGTTATCCGGGTCAACATATAGGATACTTTTTACCGCGGGAAAGTATCTCATTTTTGAGTGAAAATACAAAAACTGCAATGTAAGAGTATACTAATATGTAAAACCTAAGAATTTGGTTTTTGGTCGTCTAAACGCGAGCGGAGCCGCGGGCAATGCTAGTTAATAAATAAAATGAAGGTAAATTATAATACGTTAATGTCAGAAACACTATCATTTTTTCTTCACTGTCTAAAGTGCAAATCGTTGCTAGATTAAATTTAAGATGCCATTTTGTACGACATTAATACAAGAACTCTTCACTGTATACCATTTGATTTACCTCACCAGTTTTATTGCCTAATGAAATGAGACACGATTACGTAATATTTCAACTGTAGGCAAGAGTGTATAGTCATTCTCATACATTACACCTACAGATTGATAAAATTTATAAGAAAATTAGGTCATTTCCTTAATATAATTCATCATGAAACATATAAATTATATAGTATAACTAGCGTACCACTCTCGCACCGCTGGTGTCATCCCTGCCTTATAACGATTACTATAGATTTCTCAAAGAGGTGATATTTTCCCGCAATAAAAATTATCTTAAATGTTAACCCGAGTAAAGCTATCATCATATCAAATTTCATCAAAATCTGTCCAGTATTTACCTCGTGATGCGTTCCCATACAGACAGACTGATAAAAATTCTAAAAATTATAGATTTAGCCTCTGTAACGGTTAATGACTATTTCAATAAGATTTTCCAAGAAAAATTTTTGTACTGATTCGACTCAGAAATATATTACATATTATGTAGTATATACTTGGACTTACTTAGAAACTTAATTTTTTTTAATAAATAATTAAGATAATTATCCTATTTGAAACCAGAACTTAGGCTTCATTTAGTTTAAGTGAAAGCTACGTGATATAACTACTTTTAAAACCTTTACCTATAGTGTTGGTTATGTCCTTGCTTTACATTCATAGCCTTGGAATATTTGAATAACATAAATAACATATAAAATATAATAACTTAGTTACGTGAAAGATTTAGTTTTAAGTTGACATGATTTCATAGACCATAGGTTAATTATTAATATTATTTAATTATTAAGAAATACATTTTTCCCAATGTAATAAAAGAAAATTTCAACTATCGCTAAGTAGAAACTAGAGTGGCCATAATATTTTTTTTATCATCTAAAATAACAGCGTGTAGTCAGTCATATTTTACTATATCACCATCATAAATATTGATATTGTTATGTGAATGCTAATAATAAATTATGCATTTGCACGGAATCTTTAGAGATATCAATACGTTCACATTAACGTTTAGTATATATTTTTTAGAGATGAGATATTTTCCTGCAGTAAAAAGTATGTTGACCAGGATAACCAGCTATCATCATACCAAATTTTATCAAAATCTGTCCAGTGGTTTTCTCGTAATTCGGTCACAGACAGACAGACTGACAGACAAAAATTCTAAAAATTATGGATACGGCCTTTCTATCGATAATAATGACTATTCCAATAAGATTTAAAAAAAAATTGTGTACAGATTCGGCCCAGTTAGAATTTCATTATATGTATAGATTATATTTATCTAGGGTGACAGTGAACACTGAAGCCTGACAAACGACCCGCCGACCTTGTTACGTTATACTAAGAAATACTGTAATTAATTATATTATACACCTGTGGAAAACTTACAATGTCATAAAGAAAAAGATATTTTCTACACCTCATCATTTCAATTAAGCATTAGAACCGATTAACTTTAATGTATATCATGGAATAAAAAATTGAACTTAATATTATGAAATTTTAAGTGTGTCATTTTGAAATAATTATTTTATCAACATAACAATAATATGAACAGAATATGTAATTGTAACGTTTTAAATAATAGTATAATATTATTGTAATACTTACTCAGTTTCGTTGTTCTCGAAAACAATTGAGTCTTGAACTTCCTCAAATTGAGCACCACTCTTCGCTGTTCCATCCTCCGTCCAATATGGAATCCGCACCTTACCGCGAGCACCTGCCGTCCTCACCACACGTAGATCGTAAGTCCCCACCGACTCAGTTAACTCGAAATCCCTTTGAGGGAACGAAAACACTCCAGAATGGTCATCGTCTAAAATCACTACAGTCGCTGTTGAAGGTGAGGCCAGACATGCACCTTTCGGTGAACTTAAGCGTAGATAGAAATGCTCATCCTCTTCAAAAACATCGTCATCGATAACTTGAACGCTAAACTTTTTTTCTGTTTCTCCACGCCCAAATACTAGGGAACCCTGGGCTGCCACATAGTCTGATCCAGCTTCAGCAGTTCCATCTTCTGTAGTATATTGTACTGTGACTTCACCACTTAAATCTCCACGGCGAACTACTCTGACTTCAAATGATCCACAATTTTCCATCACAGTATAGTGGTCTGGGTCAAATCGAACATTAGGCCCTTTAGGTTCAACGGTGATGGAACCTGATTCGCGACGTTGAAGTTCAGCTTTTACTTCACTTAAATCACTCTGTGCTCTTTCCGATATCTTACGAGAGAAATCACCTCCACCAGTCATTTTTCTAGTGGCCGCTACTCTATAAAAAGCACGTGATTTCGGTCCCCGTGACATTAAGGTTTCCAAGGCCATTCGTTCTACAGTTTCCAAATCTTCATCAGGGTGCTGTCGTCTTAATTCTCGTAACACTGAAATATATTCTTTACGAGATTTTTCTAGTTCTCGACCTTCTTCATCATCTGAAGCAAATTCATCAGCGTTGGGCTTAAGTGCCATCTCAACAGAACCATCACCACCCTCTGCCTCAACGATGACACCCCTCTCATTAACGCGATACCCTTTTTTGAGATATTTGTAAATTAAAAGCCTTCTATCTGCAATATACGCTGTCATTACGGTAGCAGGGAAGAATAAAAATGTTACGGCTCCTTCCCATACCTCTACTTCACTTGGTGATATTACTGCTAGAATTAGATAAAGCCATACATAAGCGAATATTGACCAGGTCGCTGTAACTAGGAACACACGTAAATGCTTGATCTTCCTCACTTCTCCATCGGGTATCACTGCAACACAAATAGCAATAATCACGAACAAATTATAAGCAGCTGATCCGACTATGGTTCCGGGTCCTAAATCGCCAGCTTCAAAATTTTTTCCAGCTATTTCGATGACTGATAGCAATATTTCTGGCGCGCTCGAGCCTAACGCCATAAGCGTTAAATTGGCAACGGTTTCGTTCCATACTCGGACTACAATAATTTGATCGCTTCCATTCCGTCGCACGCGCACCTCCTTTTCCCTAGATGTAATAACTTCGATGGCTGCCATGAATCTATCAGAGACGATGGAGACTCCAATAAAGAGATACATGAGGGTAAGGAAGTACACGACGCCTCGGATGGCGATTTGGATGGTTGGGACATCTTCAAGAGGTAGCCAAAGGGGAAGAACGAGCCCCTCGGAGCATTGAAGCACATGTTGGGTGGTGGTGTTGGGGGGTGCAAGACGCGCGGAGGGTAGCTCGGCGCGCGCTACCACGCAGCAGGCCGCGAGCGCGGCGAGCGCGGGTCGCATGCCCTTTACCTGACGCGATCCATGAGCGCGACCGGCGCTGCCAAAGGCCGGCGCCCGACTGAACGTCGCGACGCTCTCACCCCCTCCCTTAGCTTAGCAGCGTATGATGAAGTTTTATTAGCGTCGTGGCTCATAAAGTTAACTAAAAAACGTTATCAAAGTTTCGCCAAACCAAAGTATAGGAAATGTTGAGTATGTTTAGATGAAAAGTAAAAGTGGGCTCTACTTTATAGAGTTAGTTTAGCGTTAATTTAATACTAACATTTGTAATAATAAAATAAATATTACAGTGAATTCATTAAAACTGACGTATTTACGTAATAAATTATATTATTTTATTCGCAAAATAGAGTTTCAACATTTGTTAGAAGCAAAAGTATAGTTACATTTTGACACTCGCATAAATACGTGTGATGTTTATTAAGTATAATTAAATACTGTATCAAATTATTATGTAGTTTTGTTATATTAATTCTATAATTCATTATTCCAATTTGTGATACATTAAGTAATAATTTAAACCCGTCATTCAGGGTATCTATGTATTATGAACTTTTATGAACGTAGCTCGTAGAGTCGATGCAATAAAAACTTTATTGAAAAAACCGTTTCAAAATTGGCCTAGTCGTTTCTGAGAAAAATGGCAACAGACACACGCAAACACCTCTTTCTCCAAAGCTTATACTATCTCCTTGATCATGGTAAATATATAATCTAGATATAATCTATATATAATCTATTTCGTAGTTCGTTCGTCTCAACCGAAACACGTCCATTGCTGAACACAGGCCTTCTTTTTTTCAACTTTCCACGACTATAATTTATTAAATGAAGGAATAAATATCCAATTTTTTTGTGGAGTACATTTTGTGCTTCATTATAACGATAACTGTTCAGTATTGATAACCAAACATAATTTCTTACATTTAGGATAGGTAAGAAATTATTTTAAAGCCTTAGAAAGTCATGTGTACGCTTATTCAAAATCCATTTATAAGTTTTTAAGGAATGCGAGTCTGATAACATAATAACATATAACATCTATACTTATAATAAAATCTAACTAAGCCGAATCTGTACATTAAATATTTTTTGGAAAATCTTTGGAGACATTATTATCGATACAAAAGCCGAATCTATAGTTTTTTGAATTTTTGTCTGTCTGTCTGTGTCTATCTGTCTTTCTGTCATCACGGAAAAACCACTGAAGGGATTTTCAGGAAATTCGGGTCAACATATACGATACTTTTTACTGAGGGAAAATCTCTGACAAATACTAACCGTTAAACGTAAATAAGAATGAACCGGAGCGGAACGAGGGTGAGTCACTAGTGATAATATATTTCCTAATACACAAAATTTTGTTTCTATTGCTATTATAAAAACGTTAACAATTTATAAATATATTGTTATATAATGACATAATAAATAGTTAATTATAGTAATTTTCTTATTAATTTTTATTTAACGGTTTTACCGTTTAATACACACCCAATCCTAATATTCTTTTTTAATATAAGACTCTATTTAGCCAATTAACTTTATTATCGTCAGAGGGTAAATGTAGAGTTGTAAAAATAACTATAAAAACCGAACTTAACGATTTTTTTTTAATTAGGTTTATGTTTTTAAGTAAACTTACTACTGCACTCGGATTCGTCTATTCTTTACAAATATAATTTGAACCCAAGGGAGGTTCACATAGCGCACGCTAAATAATGACTATTATAGGCTTGATGCCTTACGTTATTGCAATTTTCGTGGGGATCTCTAATTTATTTGAAAATTAAATATAGCCTATGTTATTCTCTTATAATGTAGCTTTTGATAGGTGAATGATTTTTTTAAATTGGCCCATTAGTTTTTTAGTTTATCCATTACAAAGAAACATACAAAAAAAACATTTTTTTCTTTTTATATATAATATTAGTATAGATTTCTCTTATATTTTTAAATAACTAGACAATTTATAAAGATACTAAAATATAGTGTGTGTTAAGATAGCAGTGAAATGTTAGCAGAATGAATCGAAACATACATGGTATTTTGTAGCTAATTTGTTGCTAAAACCCCGAGTTTGTTGCTTTGTCCGATTTCAAAAAAAGAGTTATTGCTATCTTAACGGTAAGGTAGTTAAGATAACTCGCGGGATCGGTATGGATTTAATGCTATTTATTATACATCATAATTTGTTGCTAATTTGTTGCTGAAAAATAGTGTAAGAAAATTAAAAAAACTCTAGAATTGACTAGACCTGGAAACCTGTAGTCGTGGCCATGCTATCTTAACATGCAGTTTTCTTAGCAAGATGATGACATAGATTTTGTTGCTGGTCAGAAATCACATCAGGACATCCCAAATAGCCAGCAACAAAATAGAAACTAAAAATCTGCTACACCTGAAGACCTGTAGCCGTATCCATGCTACGAATATCTTACAAGCTAAAGCTAATACTAATTACTGACATAATTTGGTAGCAATTATTAAATCATTCCAGTTAATATTTCATAATTTTTCTAAGCATGCGATTTAGCAATCGTCTAAAATGAAAGAGAATAATGATGATAGATAGTCAGCCAGGAATTATCTATACATATAATAAAATTGTAACTAAGCCGAATCTGTATATTAAATATATTTTTGGAAAATCTTATTGAAATAAACATTCTTATCGATACAGAGGCCAAATTTATAGTTTTTAGAATTTGTGTCTGTCTGTCTGTCTGTTACCGCATCACGGAAAAAGCTAAGCTAAGCTAAGTTAAAAGTGAAATATTTGGTGGCAACATCGAATTATTTATAGGTGTAAGTAAATAGATAAAAAATATATTGTAAAATAGTAATTAACACAGTAGTATTTACTTAATAGGACGTCGTCAATTCGATTCCTGGGTTAAACACCCAACACCCATATACATATAATATCATCTTAATATTCTTAACAGAAAGAAAAGAAGCAAGTTCCTACTTAAGCTATATAAAAGAGCTTTAGCAACAAAGAAAAACTCCATTGCTTATTAGACATAGAACCCCTCTAACACTGACTGACTGACTAACTGACTGACTAACAGCCTATACAAAAGCCTAAGCTTCATATTACCGTACAATATATTAGTAAATTTATAATACAATGATGACAAAAGTAAATTTATTATTCATTGTCGACTAAAAACTGAATTGTTAGCACCGATACTGATATATTATTACTCAAATATTGTGCTGCATTTTCGTAATACACCTAGTGATACTATATTAAATTTACATACATAATATATTGAGTAAATTAAACGGTTATTTTATCAATTTTTGCAATTAGGGATTTTTTAATTTCATTGACGACACGTTTGGCTCAGTTTGTAGTGTAGTAGTGTGTAGTACTTACTGTGCCAGCGGTCGCAGATTCGAGTCCCGCTGGAGGCATTCATTTGTGTGTTGAGCACAAATGTTTTTACTCCAATCAAGGGTGCTTATATTTATAATACGTATGTATTTAAAGTTATATATGTGTAGCGTATCAACTGTCTGGTATCCATAACACAAGCCTCGTAGCTTACCATGGAAACATTTTGTTAATGTCCCAACATATATATTTTTTATTTATTTGACTAAAATATTTTTATTTCAAATTGAACACTAAAAAGAATATCTTGTAAATATAAGTAGGTCAAGATATAGAATAAACGTAAATAACAAAGATATTGAAAAGTATTCACTTGTATCCCGTATGATGAAATACGACTTGACATTTATGCCGGCCGTTTGCTAAAGTAGTAAATCTATCTTTAAACTGTTGAAGCTGAATATTTTCAAACCGTAAACAAAACCGTAGTAAAACAATTGGAGTTATGGACTTTAGAATAGATTTTGGTAATCAATCACCATCTAGATATCTATACATATAATAAAATTCTGAGTCGAATCTGTACATTAAATATTGTTTGGAAAATCTTATTGAAATAGTCATTATTATCGAAACAGAGGCCGAATCTATAGTTTTTAGAATTTTTGCCTGTCTGTCTCTGTTGCCGCATCACAAAAAAGCCACTGGACAGATTTTGATGAAATTTGGTATGATGATAGCTGGTTATCCCGGTATATCTCCTTTCTGAGGAGAAATACAAAAACTGCATTGTAAGAGTATACTACTATGTAAAACCTAAGAATTTGGTTTTTGGTCATCTGAACGAGGGCGGAGCCGCGGGCAATGCTAGTCAGCCTATATATTTTCACCTAAACCTATCCAGCCATTACAACGAAGGAACAAATATACACACAAACTTTTGCATTTACAATGGTACCTACTCATGTCATAGAGATGATCTTTAGGTAAACAATTTATTACTGTAAAATGTTTTGCTTTATTATTCATATTTTATCATTAATTTAGGTCAGTCATAATTTTATTGACTCAAATGAAAATTCAAACCACAAATTATAACAAAAATAATATTACGGGCTTGGTTTGTAATATTGAAAATTAATTTTCATACATATGCATACGAGTATAGGTCCTACAACCGTAATATGTTTATTTTGGGTGCATAATAGATTGTATTGGAATTTTGATTTCATACATTTTTCATTAAAATTTATTAATATTTACACAGATTTTAAAACTTCTAAAAATAAATATTCGGAAGATTAGGAGTATTTTATTCTTAGTTTAAATGGAAATGAAGTGGAAATTATTTTTGGAAGTTATACGGCCTATACAATAAAAAAGAAAATCATAAAAATGAACGATAACATACATATATTATGTATAAATAAATAAATAATAAATAAATAAATATGTTGGGACATTAACACACAGCACCATCTAGTTCCATGGTAAGCTACGAGTCTTGTGATATGGACACCAGATAGTTGATATACTACACATATATAACTTTAAATACATACATATTATAAATATAAATACCCATGACTGGAGTACAAACATTCGTCATCACAACACATGAATGCCCCCAGCGGGACTCGAACCCGCGACCGCTGGCACA